TAATGGTAAAAACTTTGCTCAAAATCCTATTTTACACAATCAGATATACCTGATAACCGAGGGCCGAAGACTACACCAAAAATAATTTTGACTTATCGCATAGTAATAAATTAGTAATATCAAAAATGTATTTCTGTGTTTTCTTTTTACATATTTTGTTAAAAGGCCAAATAAGGACTTCAAACCAAAAAAAAGTAATTTTCTGTTTTGTTTTACTCAATCTGATATGCTTCTGATTCGTAGATCAGTTTTGCTCGTTATGAAGTTTAATCATGTTTTTACACACCTTAACCTTCAGTAGATCAGCCTCTTACACTCAATAAATGCAGGTGAGATATTATCTTTTTTGGACCTTTTTTTTTTACGGGCTCTCACTTCAAATATCCCAAACTATCCTTTAAGACTTAAAATGTTATACATTAACCACAAACTCATGATCGGTTTTGTTTCAATGGAATTTGAAATAGTGTCTGCTTTCTGCTGTGTTTAAAGAAAAGGGTGTTTTTGTCTACAGTTACAGCACAATGCTGGCATGTTGGGATGCTTGTCCTTCAGAGCGACCCACCTTCACCAATCTGGTAGAGATATTGGGAGACCTGCTACAGGCCAGAGCTCAGGAGGTCTAACTTGAAACATTTTTAAATTTTATTTCATTATTCTTGTTTAAAAAAGAAGTACCATTTCTGAAGTGTAAATAAATACTGTTTTCCAGGATGGAAAAGACTACATTCCTCTGGGATCTTTTAAGAATGGCGAGCGATTTGAGGTGTCTAAGGAAAACCCACATGCTGTCACAAATCTAAGGTAAGGTGATGTGAAAATTTGAGGCATCATGCTTTTGGCTCAAATGTATAACATGTAGGTTTCTAAAGATGGTAGAATGGCGCTAAATAATTATAAATAAACAAAATACATAAAGGGAAGTAGAGCTGAGGTAGACGTGAGGTAACTAAAACTGAAAGAAAAGGATATTGAGAAAACAGGAAAAAAACAAACTCCTTGACTTTGAACCTACTCTGTGCAGCTACATGAGAGGTATGGCCACACTTCAGACTTTTGAGGAACTACCCTGTAAGGAGCAAGACACCTGCGATGTGAGACAACTCTGTCACATCTATACAAGATCTTTCCCTTAAACACAGAAAGCAGACCGATAAGCTGCTTTTTTTTTAAATCTTTTTGTTTTTAGGAGCAGAGCGACAGTGGGATGGTCCTCCCTTCAGAGGAGCTGAATCAGATGATGCAAGGTTACACCAGGAACAAGAATCTCAGCAGGTGCACACCTCCCATCTCTAATGTATTTTAGGCTTTTTCACATACTGTGTTGTTCACATTTGTCTTTAGCCACTGATAACATCCATCCACACATAAGGAAAATAAAGCAATTTAACCTATCATTCATGTTTTTGGACTGTGGAAGGAAGCCGGAGTACCCGGAGAGACCCCGGGCCGGGAATCAAACCTGCAACATTCTTGCTGCAAGGCAGCAGTGCTACCAACTGCCCCACTGAGCAGCTTAAAGTGATACCCCAAAATAAAATCAATTGAATTAAATCAATTTATAATAAATAAACTACAGGTGTGTTTTAAAGGTGTAGTGGAGGATTTCTGCAATTTTTCTGAAAGACCCGCCCTCTCCAATAAAAAAAATGCACATGCACAACCCTGTACCCGCTCCCGAGATGGAATGCATATTAATACCCTCTCAGGCTCAAATTAACTTGTAGTTGCAGGAAAAATCTGATATTTGGAGAAAATGATCATACTATTTTTGAGAGAGAAACCTTCACATGCAATGAATTCTGAGATGTTGCAGATTTGCAACAGTGGCCCGGAGTGGTAAATTGACACTGAAGACTGAATCTGATATGAACATTAACTTTATTTGAATGTCACAAACATAAAATTAATGAAACAAAATTCGAAGAAAAAAAATGTCTCTCACAAAATTAGAGAACTTTTTGTCAAACTTTTTCTCCGCCGACATCTCAAAACTTCTTGAGAAGGCCGTTTCTGTTAAACTGTTGCTTAAAATATAGGCAAACTAGTAGATAAAGCATGTAGCATCCATTGGTAACATTGAAATTGAGATGCCTCTGGTGAAAAACCTAGAGGAGATAAAATCTACTAATTGGCAGGTGTCATGTCTATACACAATTATGATTCATCTTATGTAGTATTGGTTGCAAAATAATGGAAATTGGTGCTTAGAAAATCTGTTTCAGTGACACCAAGGACTCAGCCATGTTGAAGGTGAGTCAGCAGTGCTATCTGGTGAGCTGGAGAGAAACTGTTTGTTGCAAATGCACAACTAAGTAATTCTGTTGTACTTCTGAGTAACAAAAGCTCCTAAAATATGGATGTGGATTAATTAGCTAAGTGGGATTTTGCAAATCTGCAACATCTGCCTGGAGAGGGTTAAATGCGTACGAGAGCATGCACGAGCCATACCTCCTTGTTTTACTAGCAGTGATGTGAAATGGATTTCTCCAAATAGCATGCCAAACTTTATCTTTAGGGTAGAAACTTTGCAGTGGGAAGGCTGACCTGTGCTTTCAGTGTATGCCATTGCATGGAAAAAATCTCCCAAAAACAGTCTAGTCTTGTTTTTCTCTTCTAAACCTTTTCTCTTCTTCTCATACACTTTGTAGACACTTTTTTTCTTACAACCCTTGGATATTTTTAAAGAACCGTGGTGAGAGAGGTGAGCTTTAATGACTGGCTGAAACTGTAGCTCACCACAGATATACGCTTGAAAGTGGGAATGTGCTGAAAAAAGATAGCTAACTGGGGATGAACACGTAGGACGGTCTTATGTAAACATATCACCAGAATGATTGACAATTTCGAGGAACTCTTATTTTGAAGATCCACCCAGATAAAGAACATCTCCCCCATAATTTTAACTATTCTGTTTATGTAAAGCTGTGATATGAAGGCTTCAGAACATTAATGAGCAAACAGCATCAGGAAAATGCTGTACAATGAATAAGTAGATACATAAAGCTAAAGAAAAAACCTTTGCAACTGTCAACGACCTGAAACGTACATCCTGAGGTACAGTGGAATGTTGGAGAATGGCCTAGTTAACGTATGAAATATCCTAAAGTGGTTGTTTGACTGTTACTTTCTACTCAGTTTCCCTGAATTTCAGCAATACCGTGTTGGTCCAAAAAGACTAGGAGCTGTATCTTCAAGTAGATTGGTTTTACAAAGAGCTTAATATGGAATTTTAAACATTTTAAAAATCATGCATCAACCCCGTCCTTTTTGTTTTGCATATTGCAAAAGACCAATAATAAATATTAGTATGTATGTGTGTGTGTGTTTATCCCCCTGCAGGTTCTTCATGTTTTCTAAGTGCAGAGACAACCAGGCGCCCTTTTTCTGCAGCAACTCCTCTGGTCTCCATGAGGACGAGCCCTCCATCCTGCCCGCTGACTGGGAGTGTGAAGAGGGCTGCTCTTCTCCTCCAGACTACAACTCTGCCTTCCTCTATCCCTCCCTTTAGCTTCTGGCTCCCTAACATACCGTCCTCAGACAGCTGCCTACATAATTCATCCATCAGTATTCGAACATCAAATCCTACTGTGCTTTTACACTCCACTATCTCGCTCTCTTCTACCTCATGGTAATGCCTGCAGAACCAGTATTCCCATAACATCTGCTTTTAGAAGCAAAAAGTATTCCGAAATGTAGAGCATGATTTTTTTTGAACTGGAGGAAAAAAACATGAATCTCTTCAATTACTTTGCAAAAACCATAAGTATGAGGTGTCTGAAATATATTCTCCTGTCATGAGCAGCTAATCCTCCATTAGTTAACCTTGTTTTGGTACCTCCTGCTTTTTGAAGAGGAGCATTGCTGTATGAAATAACTGCTCCTCCTGCACAACTGCTTTATGCTGGATAGAAAGATATTATGTATTCATATTAGAACAGATAAACATATTTATTTCTACCTTTAAGCCATGTTATGGATCAGTTAAGCTTTTTTGTTATTAACACATATTTTGAACTGGATTGTGTAGCTAATATACCTCTAAATACACTGAAAAAACTGCCTTATGAGAGTGAAGTTAAGAATAAAGGATTGTTTTAACAGTGTGATTTTATTCACAGATATTTAAAATCACTCTATAAATGCTTTTCTTTCTCTTAGTCAGCATATCCTTTCATATTTTTATTTAACAAGAGGAGAAATCTGTTCTATTTTGAATGAAATCAGTTTTAAATAGAAACTCTTTAGAAAAAACTTAAGTTGAATAAATAGAGTTCGGACTAAACCCTTAAATTCCAGACCTTCAAGCTGATAATCAGATTTAATCTGTGATGGGTTATCAGGCATCCCCAAACTTGGTCCTCAAGGCCCCCTGTCCTGCAGGTTTTAGAGGTTTCCTTGCTCCAGCACAGCTGATTTTAATTGAAAGCTGATTAACAGGCTTTTGGTCTACTGCAATCATTATAACCAGCTGTGCTGAAGCAGAGAAACCTCTAAAACCTGCAGGACAGGGGGCCTTGAAGACCGAGTTTGGGGATGCCTGGGTTATGTTGTTCAACTAACAGATTCCATCACATAGTTTTCCCAACTCTTCAAAACTGCAGCTTTAACCTATTAAAGTCATGCCAATGCAAATTAAGAGATTTATTGGAGAATAAAACATTCAGGTCAAGAAGAAAGCAACTCCCCTCCTCCCTGATAGAACATAGTGCAGGCAGCATCATGCTGTGGGGACACTTTTCCTCAGCAAACCCAGGGATGGAAACCTTAAAGGAAATGTATTAGAGAGGCTTAAGACTTTGGGACAAGGGTGGAGATTCCCCTTCCAGCAGGACAGGAATTAGAATATTCATAGAACGGCCTTGAAAATGGTTTTTCATAGATTCTGTCTGTTCATTCTGACTGGGTTTTACGTAAGGATGGCCTAGGGGCAGGTTTATACATTTTGTTTTATCCAAAAAGTATAGTGGAGAACATTAAAAGAAGAGCACACATCAGCATCAGTTTTGGTATTCTTTATTAAAATACTGCTGTACACACAAATATTGCAAAAATCTGAGACTAGAACACAAGAGGGGTATAAGACATACTAAGATGGCGATTGTAGGTGTGCTGCTGTGTGTGTGTTTGTGTGTGCGTGGGGGGTTGTTAACTCTGAAGTCATGAGGAGTGTCTGTTATAATGTGGGGCACGGCAATCTGAGCACTGACACCGTATTGGCTGAATCCAAAGGTGTTCAGGTTGTTTGTAAGGGATTAAAGCACCAATTTCACCAGATTTTCAATCGTCAGTCTTTAAAAAAAAAAAGTATTTCATGATTTGGCATGGCTCCCTGTGCAGCTGTTGCCTCCAGAGAACAGATCATTCCCTACTTTCTTTAAAAATAAAGGCCTAGAACGGATAAATAAGATCCAGCCTGATGTAGAGGCTGCAGTCTGTTGACATTCATACAATGTGATACAGGGGGAGGAACCAATTGGACTGGATTTAGCTTTAACAGCCCTCCCCGATGAAATGAAAACAGATCTGTGCTTTGGGGGCAACATGAAAGTAGATTTTTAAACAACCTAAAACATCCATCTGAAGCCGGCCAGCCCAATGACCACCAAGGACATTCAATCATCGGGGCTTGGGTGGGTGGGTGGGGTGGGGGGACTTCGGCTGTTTCATCCTGAGAGAAAATCCGAGTGTGAAACCTGTGTCTCATGATCCTAAAGAAAAAAAAAAAGTCAAATAAAACTATAGTCAATTTTTCGATCCCTTCCCCCTTTGACCTATAACCCCCTGCTGGATTTGGTCCACAGAGTATTAAACAGCGAGAGTGAGGCAAAACCTGATTGGCCTCCTGTGTCCCGCTGTGCAATCTTGCACAACAGCTGAGCAGAGAACAAAAGCAGCTGGTAAAAAGTCGGCATGTATCAATTTTCTTCCAAAACGCAGACCCCCCCACCAGAGGGTGGAGTGATATTTGGGATTAGAGGACAAAACTTAAGGAAGTAGATAAAGACAGAGATTGGGGACAGTGGGGGGAGGACATTCCACAATGAGGCCGCTGTGGCTCACTGACGACAGCAGACCTGAAACAAGCACAGCAGTGTCCGATAACCACAAAGTGGCTGCTGCATATGTAACAAACGCTTCAGCCTCAGAAGACGCGCCTTCCTCAGTGCCAACAGAAAAAACCTCTCATCCTGGTCCCAAGCCCAAGTTTGCCCACAAGTGCGAGTCTCAAGTTCATTTATCTCCTGTAGAAAAAAAACATCTGAAATCCAGTCTTTCCTAGTTATACAACCCTTGTTCACCTTCCTAAGTGGTTTGTCTTTTCACAAAGAGGAACCAGCAGTCAATGATGGGATGGCCTATTTAAAGAAACAGGTGCCACCCTGTCGCACTAGAAGCCTCAAGTGATGCGTCCCATCTAGGAGAGCGTCAGAATGAAGGGGTGTGGTCTCCAACCGGCAGAGAGAGAAAGTAAGAGAGGTGAATTTAACAGAAACCTGGACTTAAATCCTCTGGTTTCTATGTCCGTGTGTGTGCAGGCCACTCACACAATTAACAAATTAAAAATCTTAGTGCATCCTCCTCCTCAAAATAAAAAAACAACATCCAGCAGAAGAAAGAAACAATAAAAGCAGGAAAAAAAAATCTCGTTTTGTTCCCCAAATTTAAAAAAATGTCGGTCATCACAGCTTCCTTGTTATCAATTTTCCTTTTTTCCCTTGTTTTTCAATTTTCGGCCACAAAAACAAAGAAAAATATATGCTTTACAAAAAAATGGTTCCTGGTGGACAGGAATCAGTGTATGTGACTGAGGTTGACGAAGCCCCGCCTCGTTGCCTTCGCTGTGCTGATGTCCGAGAGACTGGTCCTCCACTGTAGTGCAATGGTGCGCTCCAGGTGGGGGCGGTCCCCGCCTGAGGCCAAAGGGGGCGCTACAGAGAGCCGGCAGCTGCAGCCTGCAGCTCCTGGAAGGTGCTGTCGAAGCAGCGCTTCAGGTCCGAATAGGTGACGACAAGGACGCTCTTCTCATCCCTGGAAACCAAGCTGATCTTCTCAGGAACACCCGCGTCCAGCTGCACCAACAAAAACAGGGTTTAAACAGGATAACTGACAAATGATAAGCATAAAGGAACTAAACAGGCATATTAGTATCCAAGCAGCACCCGTAGTGAGAACTGACAAGTATATTTTTATTCAGAAAAACACTGACCTATTGATATTTTGTCAAGTACAAGAGGTATAGGTGTTAAACAGCCTGAGACACATTTAAAAGAGGAACAAGAACTTGTGATAAACTTCTAAGATGGTTCATATTTCTGTTTGCAGTTCGGAATTCAACACTTAAGGTTTACAGTAAGTTCTTGTTTGCACTTTATCACTACAGGATAAAAAAAAAACAATTCCTAAGCTTAGAGCTGGGTGATGTGGCTTAAAAATCTCAGATTCTTTCAATCGAATTAAAATACTTGATTTTTTCCCCCCTAAAGTTTCATAATAAAAAATGAAAAATGACATATTACTGTCATTTTTTACATATAAAAACAATCTTCTTTTGTAAACTATCCCCATTGGGAGGTGAACTTAATTTAAAGGGGGGAAAAATTAAGATGTGAAATTGCAAAAAAAGTGTTTCAACACAATGAAAATGTAATACTAAATGTTTGTAACTGGTTAGAATCACACATTGAGATAGTTTATCATTTGTAAAGTATAAATGTAAACCACAAAGTGATGAGCTGATTTCTCTGAGCCATGGAAGCCGAATGAAAGCAGCAGTGGGAAAAAAACCCTGCCGTTTTTTTTTCTGAGGATTTCTCATAATTTATATCAATATCAGAATTATATTGTTTTGACTGCAACTAGAAATATATCATGATATAAGTTTGGATTATATCTTCCAACCCTAGAACCTATTTTACAAAACAAAGCTGAGACCAAAAGAATTTCTATTTGGCTAAAGAGAAAAAGGGGGAAATAGTGAGAGGATATCAGAGATATACTTACTGGCCTAAATTGTGAGGATTTGATTCATCATCAAACAACAGACTACTTTTAAAATAACTTAAGTCGGACCGAAACTAATCAACGACTTCAATGTGTGTTCATTAGGCTGCTAATATGTAGGAAACAATGACTTTACTGACTTTGTTGAGGCAGCTGACAATGTGGCTGAGGTCAATCCACGGCGTCCCTGCTTCCGTCACCTGGTGAAAAAGGTGATCCCGGAAAAGCTTCAAAAGGTAGCGGTCACCTGTCTCAGACCACGCCGGGTCCTTCTGAAACCTGGCAAAAAAAAACAGGTCATTGAAGAATAGCAAATTAAATCCAACAAACAATATCTAGAGTAAACCCAAACCCAGAAACAGGCCTAGTTTCTTACTCTGGTCGCTCGTTGATGGTTCCAAGTTTGGCAAGCAGGCGGAAGAGGCGGCCATTTTGTACCTCCTGAAACCACAAACAGACGTCTTGACTTAGAAAACACCTTCAGGGATGTAACTAATATATCATCCCTGCGTATTTATTGTTGAATCCCAAGTCTAAATATGAAAACCTTGAGGTTGTCAAACTCAATGGACGGGTGCTTGGAAACAGCTTTTATGTCTAATGAATAAAACTACACATAGAAAGTACATTTCCACTGTTACTGTTGACTACACTGTGAGCAGTGCTGAAATGTGAAGTGAGGAATAGCCACACAAAAAGAGAAGAACTTGTTTACAATTTTATTCTCGAAAGGCCACACATCATTAAGGTGATTAGTATTCATTGTGAACTTGATTTGAAGACAACACTCCTGAAACTAAAAGCTATGCCATTTGACCTTTTGCCCGAAACAAAAAGAAAAGGGTCTGTTTTCAAAAGACACTTCCTTTTTATCATAAATGAAGCAGAAGCTGCAGCAACATAGTTGTGTTTGCAGCCTCACCTCAAACCTCAAATCCAACAAAGGGGATTGTTGGTTTTAGTGTGGTTTATATATGCAGGATGTTTTTCTTTAAGTCCTAAATGAGTTTCTGTCTTCAATACCTTTGTAAACTCTCCACCAGCATGCAGTCTGTTACTCCATAGGGCTCGCAGCATTTTTTAACTCGGACAGGTTTTGAAACTTGACACTAAAGGTCAGAACACACGGAATCTGTTTTTGTGACAGATCCAAAAGAAAATCGTGTCGGACGAGGTTGTGGCGTTTAGCGCTCATTGAAAGGGAATATTTTAGCCGGACTACGCAGTATTTAAGCGGCAATGTCATGAGTCTGACAGGAAGAGAGAAGCATTTAAAAAGTAAAATACATCTGCTTTCAGTGGAAAATAGAAAATATAATCTGTTAATCACACGGAGAAAGTCTGTTTTTGGGTCAAAAATCGCGTATAGAGCAAGCAGGACAGATACCCGCAAAAATAATCAATGAAGGAGGACAGCAAAAAGATAAAGTAAGATAAAGCTCTTTGAGCCTCGCAAACAAACATTAATACAAGAGTATAAAAACTCTTGTTTGAGATGATGCACAGACACGTTGAGTGGTACTTTAAAGTACCTCTGGTTGTTTTTTTTTTTATTCATTAATTAGACTAAATTTTCATAATCTGTCCAAGTCAAATGTGAGAAATTATTTAACTCTGTGTGACAAAGGATAAGAAGTGGGGAAAAAATCTGCACACATTTGCTAACCCTTTCTAGTCTGAGCCTCTCTATGCGCAGTCAGTTGGATGCCTATCGCTTACCTGAGCTTGGGATCTCTGCAACTCCTCCAGAGTTATCACAGACTTCTTTGCTCCTTCTCTGATTAATCCTTTAATTACTCCTTCTACATCAGAAAAGCTGGTCTGATGGGCATTGGGAGGACCTACTCTATCCTTTCTTTGCCTGTATTTTATACAATGGCAGATGAAATCGAAAGCGTGGCTTGGATAATTATTTATCAAGCTAGAGAATGCCGTCACAGGGTGCGTCGTTGCCATGTCTGGATTCACCACATAATTCCGAGGTGTTCAGTGTCTGGAGAGTTTCACCATCTACTTCAGAAACTCGGGAGCTGACGGGGGTCGCTTCCAGCTCTACCATCGTCACACCCAAGCCTAGTTTGATGACCTGCTTACTCACACTGGGGTCGCATCTCCTACCAGGACACCAACTACAGACTGTCAATTTCTCACTAATCCTCCTTCAGACAAGGTCCTTTCTGCTCCTGTTTCTATATTGGTAATGTGATTGGTCATAAATAATGGGATGAGCGCAAAAAGCCATGATAAGTTTAACTTCCATGGTTGAAGAATTCCTAGGTTTTCTCTGTGTGGCGCATCGAGCAGCAAAAAATGTAATTTTTCCAAGTCCAGCAGCTGCTTCTTGAGGCTGCTTCGGCTGTGTCAAGATGTGCTGCTCCTGCTGTTCGAAACGTGCTACAGGACATTTTCAGCCATCTTGATGCGTATCAACCATTAACTTCGCATGTAAACCAGCTGCTTTTGCTGCTTAAATTGTGTGCAGTCTGAAGCATTAGAAGAAAAGTACAACTGTTCAAAGCTTGGGATACTTTATATAATCTTCCTTCCTTACCTGTGTGATGTTTTCCTTGTTCTTTGTACTCGCCAATCTTCCCTAACAAAACTAGAGGCTGTCACCTTGTAGCTATACTGATATGGGGATTACGTTAAACTCAGAGGGCAAATATTTACTAATTAGGTCTTCCAAGGGCAGTGAGTTGCAATGCATTTTTAAGGGGATCTTAAAAACAGGGACTAATAAACACCCTATGGATTTGTGTTTGTCTTGATTGTTTTAAACTATGCATTATGTTTCATTCCCTTCGCAAATCGTGTCTTACCAATTGTTGTTTTATAAAAAGTAATAAACTGGAAAGATAGTATGCATCAACAGGTGTGGATCTCTGAAAACCTTTGTGCTGGTTTGTTTTCACAAGATTCTCAGACGAGACAAACTTTAAAAACTACTACGATCATGACCACATGACCACCGACATACCAGCGGTGTTGCAACACCCCAACCCCACAAAAACAACCTCATTTTCACATGTACGGACGTAAAGACAGGTGTATAAGTCCTAACCAGTTCTTCATATTAACACATGCAAGTTATCTTCATAGAGTGGGAGAACAAAGTAAATGGAACATTTTTCACATTGTAACCCTTCATCTGAATTTCCACAAACTTCCCCATCCTGGAAAAATAAAGCATTGAGCGGGCATTGGTGGGATTTATACCGTTTTCGCTCCTTATGTGATTCTGCTGAATCAGCTTTAGCATTTTTATCCATTTCCTCTCTAAAACTACATATCAGAAACTCGCATTTCAGTTTTCAGTGTTTTTAAGTCTGTCTTCTTTTAACAATGTGATAGACTATAAATTACAAATAGTTTCCTGTGGTTTAATACAAATAGAGTTTCCTGTGTTTTTTTCATAACTGTCCACGTTATGCATTGACCACTGATGTTATTTACTTTATTGAGGAAAAAAAATATTGAATTTTTTTAGTAGCTTTATTTCTCTGTGAGAATGTTTTTTTCCTTAATGGTTTATTTTGGTCTTAATAGCATAAACGTCCTGCATCATGGGAACCAAAATATTACTGTTTACAAGGAAAAACCTTTTCTAGGTTCTTATCAGTTTATCCACCAGTAATCGACTTTTACTTTGAGTAACCACCATGAATTTATCAATGACAAGATCAGTGATTATGACTTAGCATTGTGAGGTCTACTAAAAGTTAAATTGGCACAGCTAATTAAATGCTGCTGAGAAGTAAATACATAACAGCTAACACATGAGAAAATTACATCTCTTTATGGAAGGCTTGCATTCATCCAAACAATATGCTTAAGATGTTCTAGACACCAAAAGCACTACCTGGTCAAATAAACAATGCACTCAGTTTTAGATGAGGAGACATCGAGCCAACAGAGAAACAGAGACAAGCTGATAAACAGGAAACTCTACCCAACATCATAGAAACCAGCAGATGACAAGCAGGGCTGAGCAGAGCTGCCACAGCTTACAATTCAAAATAGAAATGTTTTCATTTTTACTTTTTTTTTGTGTGTGCAAAACTGTACACGTCTGTTTCTTTATCTTAATACCATCCTGTTAGTCCTGTAGAAGCAAACTTTACAATGCATCGATGCAAGTTAAAGAACACAGAGAGAACTTTGTTGGCGTACCACACCAGAGTCCAGGAAGGGAAGAGGAACTTGGTGGATGTAAGAAATAAATACATGCAAAGGGTTGCAATTTCACACATTCAAACCAATATGAGGAAACCATCTTTAAGAGAGGACAGCGAACATTTTAATACACTATAACATCCTGTATTCGCACAACTTCCCTCTTCGCTTATTAGGTTCCTTCCTCCTCAGCTACCAGAGAATATCCAACACTGACTTCTTTATGCTTTCACTAATTTCCCATTACCTTTGCAAGGTCCTCCTCGATGACATCATTCCTCATCTGCGATGCATCGAGTTGCGTATAGAAGCGTGCTCCAATCATGGGCATGATGTCATTGACGCTGCGCAGGCGAGACTGATCAGTCAGCAGGTACCTGCGCAGATTGGCAAACAGATCAGCACTGCAGAACAAATGCATCTCCTCTACAAACAAAGGCAACTTCATTTTTACTGTAGATCACTAAATGCAATGGAGGGAAGAAGGGTCTGTGATTTCTTTAAAATATGAAAAGGTTTTTTTTTGTCAAGTTTCATAGTTATTATAGGAACACATTGTAAAGCTAAAATGTATTACATGAAAAAAAATCTGACCCTCACAATTTGGTGTTGCTAGTTTTTCTTTTGCAAAATTAAAACTTTTGTTAGAGCTAAAAGTAAACATTAACACTAATGTCCTTTGATTTTGTTAAAAAGTGGTGCAAAGTGCCTTTTCTTTGTTAAAGCGTTAATTATATATATTCAGAATCCAGAAGAACAGAACATGACACCAGCTTGTTGCTGCTGGAGGTTTCCATAACTCTCTTGACGTCACAAGTTCAGCATAAGTCTATAGAGCGCTTGTACAGCAACATAATTTACATTTGTATGAAAAGCTTCCTTTTTTTTACTTTTTCTCACACCCTCATTTGTAAAAGAATGAGTTTTAATTTTAATTTGATGTAAAAAACAAAACAAAAACAAAAACAAAGTAAGATACAACAGTTATCTAAAAGTCCAATAATTAACATTTACTAGATTTGAAAATGGTTTGAATATCTTTCAAAAAGGGCTCAAGCTCAGCTAGTTTGGATGGAGAGAACCTGTAAACATTAATTTCTAAGTCTTGCCAGAGTTTCTTATATGGATTTAGGTCTGGGCTTGGACTGGACATTCTTACAATAATAGTTTGGCTGCGTGTTTAAGGTCACTGTCCTCCAGCAAAGTGAACTTTTAGCCAAGCTTTAAGTCTTTTTAGCTACTGAAAGGTTTTCATTGAAGGCTGCCCAGTATCCACACATGACCATGTTGCCTCCACCATGTTTCACCATGGACTTAATTTACACACGTTTTAAAAGGGGGGCCACAAAATCCAACCATAACCAATTTCTACCTTTATAATAAAATCCATTTTCTTCTTCTCATCTCCTGTCATTATAGGTTGATAGTCCTCCTATTTATGCATGACCATTTAACAGGCTGCTGTGAGGAATTGTATGGGTTGGGAGGGAGAATCCTAATTTTACATATTATGGTGTGTGTTTTTTGTTTTTTGTGAGGAAAAATCAAAAGGCTTTAGGTGGATACGATTGCTTTTGCACAACCTTGCATTTAGTCAATTCCTAAAGGATCAGATTAAAACCCCTGGCAGTACAGAGCTCCATACAAAGCTTAAATGTGTTGCCTAGTAGCATGTTAACATAAAACAATCTAGATAATTTTGGGTTCCTATATGAAAATTCTTTAAACTTTTTAAGGATGAAATACTTGGCTTTTGGTTGCTTTAAATTAGTTTTGCAAATCTGACTGAGGCTTAAACACTTGTATAAAAATAAAATAAAATAAAACAACTTTTTTGTATGCAGGAAAACCTAAAATCTATTTTAGGGACCCTAACCCTAATTTTGTTAGAGGAATTCAGTGCATGAGTTTGGAGTAGCACACATTTTGCTTGCTCAGAGTTGTGGTTGTTGTGTATTATGAAGGAAATGGTTTTGAATATCCATTAGGTAAAGAGGGAATTGGATTTAAATTCTGCGGTAAAGACAATCATAACAAAATTATTCAAATTTCTTTTGGAAACTAAACACATCACTAGGCTAGCCAAGAAAAAACACCTATTAGAACGGTCATGCTGAAAACTGTACCAAAACATTGCATCTTTCATTCCATCTGTTTCCTAAACTTTCTTCTGGAGTGATAAACTGGTTTTCTCTGGAGTGATAATTTGAGAAGAGTGCTAGAAGTGGTTCCTTGTGACCTACAGTATACCGTACTCTTACAGAATAAGGTTCTTGAGGTCCGAAGAGTAGTTTATAGACACCAGCTCCATGGCTTTCTGCAGGTTCTCCCTCTGTATTCCAGCTAGTGAATTACAGGCCAAAGCCAGCACCACCTTCCCCAGCGATACTAGATCAGCTTGCTGCATAACCAAGACACACAAACACGTATTTACTGCTGCGCAGTGAAACTCAAAAAAGTTATTTTAAGGGAAGTCCGGATGTTGAGAATATTACTGGTTGAGGGGAGCTGTTGCATAAGTACCTGGTACTGTGGCATCAGGGCAAGATGATTGGTCTGACTGTTGTCAAACGTTAAGACATCAAACACGCCGACGCAGTTCACCCGTAACCTTTAGATAAAGAGAACAACAGCCTCTATTAGAATAACTTGTGTGTTTGAAGTCTGGTCCTAATAACCATCCCTGTTAAGCTAATTTGTTACAGGAAGCTTGACTTGAAGTGAGATCTTTATCACTGGTGTGAAAAGAGACATTTTAGGTCAGATGCAGCAGGCTTTGACATAACAAAGGTGGACTATGAGGTGAAATGAGATATCTATACCTGGTTTTGCCAGTGATGAGTATCTTGCTTGGGTCCATAACCCGACAGGCAAGGCCGGCTGTGTGGATGGTCCGCAAGGCTGAGCTAAGCTGGACAATGTAGGCCCAGATCAGCGACTCTGGAAGAAGGCCTGCATGCTGCCGTGGTGGAGGAGGTTCATGCTGGCCTGCAAGAGTTCATAAAAAAGAAACAGCCATACGGTCAGCATTTTACTAAACTAAACCTCGCACTGTCACCTTCCATCAGTGGAGTATAAAATAAACACCTTTATTCAGCGAGGTAAGAATGATTCATGCATCTTAGGTTGGGGTTTCAAAAAAAAAAAAAAAAAAACACTACTGCTAGTACTCAGCTGGTCATTTGGTCTAAAATGTGAACAATGCAGACGTGTTTCAAGGAAGCTCATGCTTGAGAAATTTTGTTTACCATAAAAGCTTATCTCTAACAAACTAATTCATACCAATTACTGTGGGTAATGTTAGGAGGCGACAAATGAAAGGGTGTACACTGTGATAAAGAACAACAGTGTGATACTGACCACAAGAAGCCTTGCATAAAACATTCACTTCCTGAAATTCCGTTGACGCTGATAAGAACTAGTGCAGTTTTACGCTTCATCTTTAGGATTATTTTTAACTATTTTTGTTCCGTATAGAGTCTGAAGACGGAGGTTTCTTATCGGTGTATGCTACTAGTGAGACCGACTCACTGCTGTTTTGCTTCCTTCTTTCAGTCGTTCCTGAAAGCAGCCTAAACACTAGCACCTGCCTAGGATCACTTTCAGCCACAGTTTCCTCCAAATCCGCAAGACTTCTTAAAAGGAAACTCGACAACAAACTGAAGGACTGAAACTACATACAGCTTCTTAAAGAAACAGTTTGGGTTTCATAAAGTGAAGATCTGTGGCGTTATTATCAGTAATGGTACCCGGGGTTAGGAAGGGCATTTAGTAGCAAAGACTTTATAGAAATCTCAGAAAGGAGAGTTTGTAGCCACTACTCATCTAAGCAACATCTACTATTATATGTTTGCTGATTTACTCATTTTTATTTTTTTGGGGACAATTCAAAAACATGCAATAAAACCAGATCAATTTAAAATAGACAAAATGTGATTTAAAAATATATTTGTATAAGAGAAAAAGTCTTCAAAGTGTAAGTTTATCACATTCATGATTTATTCAAATGATATTGGAGCTTCATTAATACAGTAGCAACCATTCAAAATGGCCCTTCCCAGTCAAAAGCCGCCCGAAATGCAGCAGAATCCCCTCCAACTTCCAACCACTGGCCTTTTAATGGGCGTGCATATTTTTTTATTCTGACTCCACCCTTTCAAAACAAAATAATGATAACTTTACAACGTTTGACCAAATTATTAGCTTAATATGGGATACAGTGAGGAAAATAAGTATTTAAATACCCTGCTATTTTTTCAAGTTCTCTCACTTAGAAATCATGGAGGGGTATGAAAATTGTCATTGTAGGTGCATGTCCACTGTGAGAGACATAATTTAAAAAAGAATATCCAGAAATCACAATGTATGATTGTTTTAACTATTTATTTGTATGACACAGCTGCAAATAAGAATTTGAACACCTGAGAAAATTGATGTTATTTTTTGGTACAATAGCATTTGTTTGCAAATTCTAGAGGTCAAATGTTTCCTGTATTTTTTCACCAGGTGTGCACACACTGCAGGAGGGATTTTGGCCCACTCCTCCACACAGATCTTCTCTAGATCAGTCAGGTTTATGGGCTGTCACTGAGAAACACAGAGTACGAGCTCCCTCCACAGATTCTATAATATATTTAAGTCTGGAGGCTGGATAGGCCATGCCAGAACCTTGTTATGCTTCTTCTAGAGCCAATCCTTGGTTTTCCTGGCTGTGTGCTTCAGGTTACTGTCATGTTGGAACCCCATTCTTGACCCATCTTCAATGCTCTAACTGAGGGAAGGAGGTTGTTCCCCAAACTCTTGCAATATATGGCCCCAGTCCTCTCCTTAATACAGTGCAGTCGCCTTGTCCTATGTGCAGAAAACACCCTCAAAGCATGATGCTGCCTCCCCCATGCTTCACAGCAGGTAAGGTGTTCTTGGGATGCTACTAATCATTCTTCTTCCTCCAAACATGGTTAGTGGAATTATGACCAAAAAGTTCTATTTTGGTCTGATCTGACCACATGACTTTCTCCCATGACTCCTCTGGATCAACCAAATGGTCATTGGCAAACTTTAGACGTGTGCTAGTTTAAGCAGGGGAACCTTCCATGCCATGCATGATTTCAAACCATGACGTCTTAGTGTATTACCAACAGTAAGCTTGGAAACGATCATCCCAGCTCTTTTCAGGTCATTGACCAGCTCCTCCCGAGTAGTTCTGGGCTGATTTGTTACCTTTCTTAGGATCAATTAGACCCAACGAGGTGAGATCTTGCATGGAACCCCAGTGCGAGGGAGATTGACAGTCCTCTTCCATTTTCTAATAATTGCTCCAACAGTGGACCTTTTGTCACCAAGCTGCTTGGCAGTTTCCCCGTAGCCCTTTCCAGCCCTGTGGAGGTGTACAACTTTTTCTCTAGTGCCTTTGGACAGCTCTTTGGTCTTGGCCATGTTAGCAGTTGGTTTCTTACTGATTGCATCGGTTTGACAGGTGTTTTTATGCAGGTAATGACCTCAAACAGGTTCATCCAGTTTAAGATAATAAATGAAGTAGAGGTGGACATTTTGAAGGCAGACTAACAGCTCGTTGAGGGTCATTATTCTAGCTGAAAGACAGGTATTCAAATACTTATTTTGAGCTGTATCAGACAAATAAATAGTTTTTAAAAAAAAATCATACAATTTTAATTCTGGATTTTCTTATTTTAGATTATGTCTCTCACAGTGGACTTACCCCTATGATGACAATGTCTAACACCTCCATGATTTCTGAGTGGGAGAACTTGCAAAATAGCAGGTGCTCAAATACTTATTCTCATTACTGTATAGTAAATGATTTTTCAGGTCACTATTAACACCCATTGCAATTTAGAGGGTCAGATTGGTCCTTGAATGAAAGTCCTGTGACCCAGAGCACAGCTTTAACATAGCCTGAGCTCCCCTTAAACATGGGAGCTGACTAAGCTTAAGGCACCAAACATGACACTTAACCTGATCAAACATTATTTTTTCTCTTACGTAGAATTTAATCTAGAGGGGTAAATGTGGTATTGTCTTTAAAAGTAACTCCAGCTTCTCAATTCTCTCTCTTGGCAGAAAGTTACATAGATTTTATTTATATATATATATATATATATATATATATATATATATATATATATATATATATATATTCAGTCTTTTAAAGTGTATATAGTTTGAAAATGATTTCCAAATCACTGCAATTTCTTTTTTTTGCATTTTACACAAAATCCCACTTTGAGATTCTATTTTAAAACATGCACAAAGAATCAGAGCTGACAATTTGAAGCATCTTTATATAGCACAACTGCCATTTTATAATTTAGTGTTCTTCAAGAAATAAAGAACATGATTCCGTTAAAGGAAATCCGTAAACCTGCTAACATCTTTTTGTATTAAAAGCAGAAAGACTTCTGCTTTTTCTGACTTTATTTAAAATGTTTCTCCTGTGATATTAGCTAACGTCTTACTTTTATTCTGTAAAAACTTCATATGAAAGAGTGTTATTGTCAGCAAGAGCTGTTAAAGCTCAGATATGAGGCGATCTATGATCAGGTCCTTAAGTCATCAGATGGCAATTAACAGCTTTTTTTTCCTGATGCATTAGCTGAGAACATAACTTCACACTTAATGAGGATATTTTGTGAAACATTTCACATATTTTTGAAAGAAAGAAAAAATTGTTCCGGACTAGCCGGTTGCCGTCCTGCTGAGGGCTTATTTACATTTTTTCAGAAGTTAACTGCAATATACCACATCAGTCTACCACAGAGGGGAACTGAATTCACAAAAACTAACAGCAAAAAGTCCAAACTATCCCTGTAAGACTAAAATTAGGCCAATATTTAAAGCTGTCAAGCAATGTAGTACTTTTTATTTGTAAAACATTACATATGTGTGCGACATGAGCTGGCCTGGATGCGATGCTTCCAAGAGAAACAAACAGATTTAAATAGATAAGTGGCAATTACCTCACTACCGATCAAGTAAACAGAAGCTGAATGTGTGAAGAAGAGTGGTGATGAGCGGCTGAGGTAAAGCTGGTTCTATTTCAGAGTAAAGGCAGAGGGAGGCGAGGGGGAGCACTCACCCCACTTCCTCTTTGTGAAGTACGAGTCTGCTGCTGGGTCGTTAAAATGCCTGCTGAACATCGTTTCTGCACCTGCATGGAAGTCGTATGAAAAAACCAAAGCTGGAAAAAAAATGTGGAGAAAACAAAAGTTAGAACCCAGAATAACAACATAACTAAACAAACAAGATACTTCTGCTACACGGAGCTGCTGAACTTTACAACAGAACGCCACACGAGACGTTTACTGTAACTTAACGATGGCACACACTCACAGTGGTCTCCAAAGGCCTTAGTTGTGAAGACCTCTCTCAGCGTCACTGTGTTCGAGTGCTGAATCTTCTTCCACATGTCGACCAGCATCATGCATTTGGTATTAACAAGGCGGAAACCTGGTCACAGTTACAAAACACAGGAGTAACACTTGTGAACAAATGTCTTTCAACCTACCAACACCTACGAAACATTGAAATTTGTAAACAACAGATTTCAATTAGGTTAATTTAGAAACAGTCCGATTTTCTACGAAGAGCTGATGGTGAGGGAGAAATGGGCTCATAAATGTATCCTTTAAATATTATTAGATACCGTAAATTCTCTAATATTGGCCTGTATTCCATTAGCGGCCGGGACTCTAACATTGGCCGGTCTCGCTGTCAGAGGAGGTAAATAATGGCCGGTCTCTAATACAGGCCGGGGCTGTAAACGTTTTTTCTGGGCATACCTCAACATTATACTTGTGGTAGTAACATACAAGTACCACAGCCCTGCGCTGCTGGACGACAGGCCCTGACTGCTGCCCGTCTGCGCGAGGAAGAGAACAGACACGCAGCAGAACATGAGGAGGAGCGCGAGTGATGAGGAGATTAAAGGGAGAGATGAAGAGGAGGAGGAAACTGAGGAGGAGGATTAAACAGAATTGGAGGATTTTTTTTTCTTTTTTACTTCAAACCAAGCGAGACATGGTAACTGTACTTTTTCAATAAATGAAACTAGTGTTTTATAGGTTCAAATAGACACAAAATCTCATTTTTATTCATTCCACTGGTAGTCTGTTTTGCTCAAATAGCAATAGAGGCCTGTCTCTAATTCTGGCCTCTTTCCAATAAAGGCCTGGACCGCGATGCACTTGAGTGAAATAAAGGCCCGGGTCTATATTAGAGGATTTACGGTATAACTACTTTATTTATATCAAAACCTGAGTGAATTAACCAACAAAAAACATTCTTCGATGCTCTGTGAAAAAAGAAAATGTACGCTGTAGTGACGTTTATTACCCTGTATCCTCCTCAGGCAGTATGGCAGGTCATCTTTGCTGTTGACCGCCTTGTAGCAGGAGGTGATGTAGCTGAAGTTGCTGGTTTTCTGCATGCGGTTGGGTGGAGGGAGAGGCTCGAGGGGAAACAGGCTGTGGTAGCTGTCCACCTCGGACGGTACATCTGAAGGAAGTGGTTACCAAAAATCAGGACACCAATTGAAACGCATACATCAGAATTATTCATATGCCCTGAAATTCTCCTATTTTGTCAGAATACAACCAAACCTTGATGTACTTTTAGATAATTTACAGCATCACACTATAACAAAGTGGTGTCTTTCAATTGGGAAAGGTTTGAAGTGCATTTCTATTTAGTCCTATTTCAACAGTAGCAGTTGGGGCAACAAGCCTTTTGAGTAATGCCTATCCTTGCTGTGCACATCTAATTTTTGTGTTCATCTCTAAACAGCTAAAAGGCCAAATTGGATGGAGCGTATCAATTTTTATTAGATGCTACATGCCATAGAATGGATTTAGGTCAGAGCCTTGATTTGATCATTCAAACAAATTGATAAGCTTCAATCCAATCTCTGGCCGGATGTTTGTGATTCAGTCTTAACTCTTCAGCAGGTTTTATGACTCGTCTGTTGTTCCATTCATCTCACTATAAACTTATAAGCTTTCCTGTTCATGCTGAAGAAAAGTAACACCACAGCACGTTGATAGGGATGGTATGTGAGGAATGTTTTTAATAAAGGACTAAAAGGGCCATTGTGATCATCTGTGAACCAACCATAGCGAAATACTCCCTCCCTCTCCCATGCATGGAGCTGTTGAAGAACTTTTAATCCTGCTCATTTATCTAAAAATACATTTTAAATTTGATTATTGATGAAAGAAAAAAATATATATATTTGGTTTTCTCCACCAACCAGAAAAGAAGTGAAAGCTTACCTGGGTTCTCTGAGTGGTCAATTTGGGCTATGGTTATTAGATGCCTGTGAATTAGTTCCTAATGGAGGAAACAAAAGGAGATTATAAATCATTCCCAATACAGAAAGGGAAACAACATGCTGCTTGGTGAAAAAGCAAACAGGCCAATCAACTGATACCTGGCGGAGCTCATCAGCCATGAAGAAGGACGGGGCGTTGGCTTTTGGCTGCATGTAAGCCACATGGGGGGCAGTGGGGGGGTAGATATGGAAGGTAGGAAACACCTGCAAAGAAACCAGAAAACCCCCGCTTCCTTTTTTATCAAGAAATCAAAACAGATGATATGTCTGGGGCTACGTTCACACTGCAGGCCTTAATGCTCAATTCCGATTTTTTTGAAATCTGATTTTTTTGCGTGTCCGTTCACACTTCCAAGTATATGCGACTTGTATGTGATCTACTGTGTGAACTGAAAGCGTTCAACCGAAGTGTCCCGCATGCGCACTCGAGGACGCGATGACGTCACATGTAGCAAGCGTCCTCAGTGTAAGTAAGTAAACATGACTCGTAATACCGCAGCGTATATTGCGTTCTTTAAGTTCTTCTCCAACAGGAGCAGGCACATTACGAACGAAATCTTTTTAAGAAGATCAAAAAGAAAGACCCTCCCCCGGTTCCGGTAAGACCCTTCGAGTTTGGTCTGAATCGAGCTATCTTTCCAAATATGAATTAAGTCAGCAACCTCACTTTCTCTCCATTGACTGCTCTCTGTGTTATCTTCCGCCATGGTTGTTAGTTTTTCCCGCCTCCGCTTAGTAGGACGCAGATTAGTAACATTTGTAACATTTGTCAAGTATCAATGACGTGTAGGTCGGATGAATGTGACCTGGCCGTACAGACACAGGTCGCATTTGAAAAGATCAGATACGTATCGGATTCAGGACCACATATCCAAGTGGCCTGGGTCGCATTTGAAAAAATCCGATCTGTGTCGTTCAGACTGTCATAAAAAGATCAGATACAGGTCACATATTGGCAAAAAAATCGGAATTGGGTCACTTCAGGCTGCAGTGTGAACGTAGCCCTAGTTTGTTTTCTTTTCCCCGCCAATATGAACTGCCTAAACCGACCTTAATCTGAATCGGGTGATGACGCGTGAAACTAAAATAAATTTGACACCTAGTAGACCAAGAATAACTCCAGAGATCCAAGTCTACAGTAGACTACATACAAACATAAAACTAAATCACAGTGAAAAGATTTCCAAAGTAAGATGCTACATCTTGGCGTGGTTGCTAAACACATTCATTGCATGTCGATGGGCTCCCTTGCTTGTCGTACCATCCCTGCCATTGGCACTGGGGTGTTGTCTGTGTAGAAGTACGTCGTCCCCCCTACGGTCTCTTTCTGAATGACGTGTGCGCCCTGGTCAGACGCAGTGGTGGGCACCATATAGTTGGCAGGGTTCGGGGTGTGACTCCGTCGACGAGGGGCGGGTGAGGTTTGAGGCGTGATTTTTGGGGAGTGGAGAGGAGATGATCCAGCAGACAAAGACATACCTTAAAAAATAGATAAATAAAATATAAACATGAATAGGCAGCAAATTCCAAATAACATGCAGATCAGTTTGGGGATTAATCTCACCTGGCGCCAAAGCAGCTGTGGAGCCCCCGAGACCAGGATGAGCAAAGAGCGGAGAAGGGAAGGCCTGAACTGCAGACTGCGTCATGGCGGCCATTCTCGGAGCGCCCTTAGGGATGAATTCGCTCGCTGTCGGGTTAGGAGCCTATTAAAGAAGGTTAGGAGTCAAATATAGAAAAAAAATACATTAAACAAAAGTCTCAGCCTTTGGGAAACTACTTCTATAAAAGTGCAGATTCAACTGCTCACCTTTCTCCTCTGGGAAATGCTAAGAGCACCGAAATCACTGAACAGTGACGAAGTCGAGGAGTTTACTGGATCTGTCAGGGACCAGGATGTACAAATTGAGAAGCGTCCCTTTTAAATATGTGGAAAACAAGTGTCAAAAACACGGCAGTTCTGTTTGGGGATCCTAGGGGTTTTAAACCTGAGTTAAGGATCTGAGGTAAAGCCCTCAAAGATCCCTAAAAACACTGAATGTGAGTATGGGTTTTCAGTCAGGAACAACAACAACGAAAAAACTAAAAGCTGTTGAAATACAGACTGGATAAAAAGGACAAAACTAAATATCACATCACAATGATCATTTTATGATTATCAAAGAGGCAGTGAGACCGTATGCTCAATCTGCAATAGATTCCATTCTGTCACTGATTCAGAATAACAACCTTTTTTTACACATAATTAGTCTAAAAGTCTATTTTTCATACAGACTCAGACTCCTTCGCTCTAGAAAAACAAGAGGAAGAGCCTGAAAGTTTCTCCATAATTCTTCAGACCTAGAAAAGCTAAAAATAAATAAATAAATCTCCATACTTTGCAACATCTCTGTGAGGGTGTCTTACCATGAGTGCTGTGGCTGAAATTCTTGGCACCATCATTGAGAAGACTGGGAGAGCTGCTGCTGGTAGTCATTCGCTAAAAACAGCAGCATCAACAACAATTGTCATAACAACAACTAGACTATATAAACCACATATGAGATTACCTACAAATTACCAACATAGGAAAACTATAATTTGCTGTAAAGCTATTCTAATGTTAAAAGGTAAAACTGAATAGGCTTTTAGGTTCAATGCAATGTTTTTATAAAAAAAAAAAAAAAAATTATGTATATATATATATATATATATATATATATATATATATATATATATATATATATATATACATATACATACATACCATATCTTCCATTCTATGGGGTCCTTATAGTAAGATATCACAGTACCCAAACATAAATATAAACAAATAAAAAAACTAGGCTTATAAAACAATAAAATTAATCTAACTTAATCACATATAATGACATGACCAAAATGCAAAATCAAGAGCAAAACAAAAGCACAGGGAAGAAGTTTAAAGATTAGAAAATATATTTTGCGTAATTAAGCAAAAATAATTTATACCTAATCCTGGCAATTAGATTGTTATCAAAGGTTATCATTTGGAAAGTCCCGTGGTTTAATAGGGCTCTTAAAAAAAGATGACTATTTTACAAGGCAACCACTTTTTATACTAACAATAGTTGTTGGGGTTTTTCTTCATAATTTTATTTTTCTTGAATTTTAACACCATTTCAGGCCTGTAAGCTCCTAATATGTCGATCTTTTTATCTGTTTATGACAACCCGTCCTCCTACGATCCAAACATGCAAAACCATGCATGGAGCGTTTGTTTGGGGAATGGTTTACAAGCCTTTCCAGATTTAAAGAATGCACGCATTGCTTGTTTGTGATCACATCTGATGAATAAGTGTTTTTGTTAAACATGATCCTGAAGCAACTTAACGGAGAATATTCCTCATGGAAACAAGGAGGGTGTAAAGATTTTAGAAATTATCATCTTATTATTTGATACCTATTTTCTTTCAAAAGCCTTAATACACCCTAAAACTTTAAACTCACTTTAAGCTTAAAATTCTATTTGATTTGGATTTGTTTTTAATAGCAACACACCCAAAAAAAAAATGTAGGATTGTGACGTGGAAGATAAATCATACATTGCTTCATCATTTTGTTATTTTTGTCAGCCAGTGTAGCCTCCATGCGTATTCTGGTCCAGTTTTCCATTGAAATAAAACCCATTGCAATAAATGGCTGTCAAAGGTTACTTCATTAGTAGACAAATTCTACCTGTGTGTAATTGAAACTCTGCAAAAATGCTTCTGTGTATTAAAAAGAGGTTTGTTTGAAATAAAGCATCAATGTTTCTCAAAGAATGTTTCTCAAAAAGAGTTCTGATCTAGGCTGGGTGACAAAAAAAATATATATATATATTTTTTTCTACTTTGACTTGACTTTTGAACATACCAGATGGGTTAAAAATAATATATTATTCAAGAGTGGCTGAAAGTCTGACACAAGCAAGCAAGAAAACGGTAAACAAGTGGAAGTTGGACAGCAGAGATCAAAACTAAACTTTTTGGCCTCTATAAAAGCTGTGTGTTGAAAAAACTAAAAGTTTTGAAACACTGTTCACTGTTGTAGTCAAACAGATGTGTCAGCATCATGCTGTGGGGATGGTTTTCTTCATCGCCGTAAAGTGGGTCAGACTTAATGAAAAGCTAATTGCAGAGCAACACTGGAAATAAACGTGTTAAAGGTTGCATAAAAATCTAGGGAAGAAGTTAACACAGATGCAGAACAACTGAGAAGCAACCTAAATGCCAGTTTGACCATATGGTATATCAAGTAGACTCTCAGGGATCTCTAAGACCAGAACTCGGGGAGGACTGATGTCCTGCAGCCGTTAGAATCAAATGGCTAAGGTTCCTGCTCAGCGTGCTAACCATTTTTCCCCCCTCAGTCTTGTTAATGTAAGATGCCATAAGCCAGATTAATATTGTACTTCAATTTAAATTCTACACAGTATCAATCTGATTGGGTACCTGGCTCTCATGTTGAGTTGTTAGCCAATCACAGCAGCAGTGACGTATGACATTATTGATTTGTTTCACAACTAGCGGAGATAAATCTACCTATTACCAAAATCTGTTCAGGATAAATGGGCAAAAATATTGACGATCCACAAAGGCCTAAATTGTTCCCCTTTCCTTGTTAAAAAAAAAAAGAAAGCAATAGAGGGTTTTCCAACAAAATTCAGCGCAGCCATGTTTGTTTTACTTCAGCCTTCCGCTTGTGGATCATCTCATACACGTCGCTGCATTTCATTGGTTAAGTCCATTTCTGTATTGAGGTTAATGCATCTGCCAGCTTCTGACAAAATTTATTTTCGTGAGTTTGTGCATTTAAAAATCTCATGACAATCTTGATTGCAAGGTAATTGCTAATGAGCTAATTATTTGATTCATGCGTGCTGAAGGTGATAATCAAAATGTTGCAGAAGTCGTACAGGAACTGGAGTTTGAAATCCATGAGATCAAAAGCACTGTGTTTTAGAAGGGTTCAGACAAACTATGGGTCTAAATACAAAAGTGAATTTATGAACACTTGAAAATGTGTTATTCTCATTTGAGTTTGGGTTATTTTTGTGAAGAAAAAAACAGGTCCAAGAGGCTTATTCCAAAAGACATGGTGGTTCTGCTAAGTACTGAAACCAAGTTGTCAATACTTACTACTGACATACCGTATTTTCACAACCATAAGGCGCACCGTACTAAAAGGCGCAGTCTCAGTTATGTGTCCCATTTCTGTATTTAACACACACATAAGGCGCACAGGACTATAGGGCGCATTTTTTATATACAGGTACATGTCCTCTACTACCTTTAAATAGCTCTACTGCGTATTTTAAAAATACAGCGGGCCCAAAACTGAGTATGACTGTGCTTTATTCATGTATTTATTACAAATTAATCAAACCTGCGTGCTGGCCATGAGACAGACACATCGCAGATGACACAGCGCTGTGATTACTCCTAAATTAACTTAAAATCCTGAAACCTGCCGACGGAATATGTTCGCTTTTATTGCCGGTATCCTGGTGCCTGCACTGTAAATTATTTAGATGAAAAACACCCTCCAGCCGCCTAAGAGGCTGCTGTTGAAGGGATTTACTGTCGGTGTACCGCTGGTATGTGGGGGTCTGAGCGTCTCCGACAGAAATAGATAATCTGGATGAACTGACTGCAATTAAGTTTTCAGGTGGCCTTTCTCACTTAAAAACATATTAAAACTACTTTATTCCCCCTGATCACAGCAAATATAGCTGCAAGATTTAGATTATTTAGATGAAAAAACACCTGCCAGCCACCGCGCTGAAGAGGAGGAGACGCGCCCAGAGGCTGCTGTTGAATTAAGTTTTCAGGTAGAAAAATAGAGCGGGAGCAAAACTGAGTATGTTTGTGCTTTATTCATGTATTTATTACAAAGTATTAATCAAACCCATCAAAGTCATCATCCTCTGTTTCTGAATTAAACAGCTGCGCTAAATCAGACATGCCAGTTTCCCCTTCTTCGCTGTCAGTCACTTTCCGTGCAGCGCAGCTCCTCAGAAATAATGCCGGCTTTTGCGAAAGCTTGAACAACAGAGCCAACAGACACTTTAGTCCAAGCATCTACAATCCATCCGCAAACTGTGGCGTAACTTGCCCGGCGCTGCCTTCCACTTATCCTGAAACTGTGCTCCCCGTCTGTCATCCATCGCTCCCACGCCGCTCACAGCCTTACTTTGAACGGCCGCTTTCACACCGATGTCGAGCGGTTGAAGTTCCTTTGTCAGACCCCCGGGATAACGGCGAGCACAGCGTTCATTTGATTCATCTTTTTTTCACATCGGCTGTGAGATGGGCACGCAGCGATGGTGATGCGTGGAAAAAAGCACCTGGTCTCCTCACATACACCTGCCTCAGCCACGCTTTCATCATCTCCTCATCCATCCAGCCTTTTTCATTTGCGTTAATATCATGTCATCAGAGCGCTGTGTCTGTCTCGCTGTCAGCTCCCAGATCAGCTTCTCTGATTGGTTGATGCGGCGCGTCCAGCAGCAAAACTTCAATTTTTCCATCTCGAGCAGCAGCAGCGCGTTGGTGGCGCGCTCCCGACGCGCTGCACCTGCAGCTCAAAACGCGCTGCAGGACCTTTTGCTGCACCTATACGCGCGTCAACCATTGACTTTGCATGTAAACTCGCTGCTTCTGCTGCACCTGCTGGGTCCGGTTCACACCGATGTCCAGCGGTTGAACAGCGAGCACAGGGTTAATTTGTTTCCCCATGTTTTTCACATCAGCTGTGAGATGGGCACGCATGGAGTTACATATTAACAGCGATGGTGATGAGTGGAAAAAAACACCTGGTCTCCTTACATTCAGCCACTCTTTCATCATCTCCTCAATGAGGTGGTCTCAAAAGTCGCAGTTACAACACACATAAGGCGCACCGCACCATAGGGCGCACCGCACATTTTGAGGGGAAAAAAAGACGTTTAAGTGCGCCTTATAGTCGTGAAAATACGGTACATATGTCTGCCATCGTTTTCTACTCTTCATTTGTAATCTGAAAATCCTGTATCAGCTCTGTCTCTACTCTAGGATTAGGCCTTACTTTTTGTTCAGTTAACATAAAAAACAAAAAGGTATACAGAGATGTGTGATCGTTGTTAGTTCGTAAAATTCAATGCACACGGCACACTTTTGGTTTACTGCACTATTTTTTTATTTATATTTTTAACAGCTGGTTAATTATCACTAGTCCTAATTAGCATGGTATATATATTTTTAATACTTTATTTAAATAAGATTATTTTCTGCTCTTATTGCCATTTTCATTTTGTGTTCCTTTCATCGCTGCTCCACTGTAATTTCCCAGCTTCGAATCAATAACATCTATCCTATCCAATCCAAAATTGTTTTAAAAAAAGTCTACATCTAGAAATAATGTTTTCAAAGGCACAATACCTTATGATTGGTTATTAGACTTTGTAACTGGATTTTTAAAAGGGGATGTGTATGTCAATATGCATTTAGATTAAAATATAGATATTATACCTGCATCATTGTATATTTCGACTCTGCTGGGCTTCCAAACCCGTTGACACCAATGAAGCTGCTGCTGAAGTAAGAGTTGGTGAGATTGGCATCACTTAGGGCTGGACCCTCCATCCCTGGGACTGTGAATGGTGAAAAAAAAATGTATTTATATAGCCAATACTGACTAAATCAAAAAAATGTAAACTGTGGTTACCTCCACACAGAGGTCTCAACAGTAATTACTATGAGGTTTTGTAATTACCCACTCACAGGGCTAATTATAATGCTTGTAAACACTGCACAGAAACTCTTCCGGAGACTGCCACAAGGCAACATGTAGTAAATTTATAAACAAAGTTTATATGAAAACTTAAGGTAACCCAAGCAGTAGCTACTGCAGCGAAAATCATATAAATATTACTTAACAAGCATTGTTTACACTGAGAGATTAGGAAATCAACTGACATTAAGGCAGCTAGCTCAAGCATGCTAATGATAAACATCAATTAAATACGTTAGGAAAGGTATGCTTATTAAAAAAACAACTAATTTTAAACCAACGCTAAAACTACTTATATTCAAATACAATACTACAAGCAAGAAGAGATTTGAAAAAAGTTTGATAAACACTCAAAAAGCTAGGCTAGGTCAGCTAATGCTAATTAGCTCATCGCTAGTTACCCAGCTGTCATACAAAAACAACAGGCCCCAATCTGAGCTTCAGAAGTATATTTTGTTCTAAAGCCAGTTAAAGTGAAGCCAGCTGGCAAAGCATAGAGACAGACCAAATACAAACAAAGCTGAAGAATATATTAATAGCTATGTGTGTCGTAAAAGGTCCTTCTTTGCAAGTTAAATGTCAAGCACGCTGTTCTGAAAGAAACGGGCCGCGCTCAATCCTCGGACTCAATTTGAACATGGCCGCGGAAGGCCCTTTGGAAAAGTCTGGCTCAACCAGCCAAAACCGCGTGTAGCTTTGCTTTGTTTACTCACTGGTAAGCAGCTGTCCGTCCAACGTCGTGCCCGCAGGCCCCAGTGCTTCAGTTTTCTTGGACACACCGGTCCCTCCGCCGCCTGGGCAGACCGGTGCCGTCGTGCCACCGAGGGAATACCCCGCTGGCGTCCCGCCACCTCCAGCCACAGGCAGCGGGACGGGGCTACCGCCGCCTCCGTGCAGCGACATGCTTCCCATGGAGGGATCCTCGTGCAGGAACTGGCACTCATCTCCGTAAAAGCATGTCTTGTCTTTCGCGTAGTATCGGCAAAACTTTACCTTGACATTAGGTATCCCGGTACCCCCGAGCGGAGCAGCGGAAGGTGGGAGTCCACTGTTCATGGCACCGCTGCTCCCGCCGCTGCTGCCGGAAGATACTCAACCATAGAGAAGAAGCGGAGAGCTAGCTGGTTAGCCAGCTACTTTACAAACACTTTCCCCTCAAAGTAGCAAATTGAAACCACCTCAGCTCACGGAGAACATTTACTGCCACTCATTGTGAATAGAATATTCATTTTTTTCTAAGTAAATATGTCTGCATACGTGGGATCCTGCTCGTCGTTGTTGTCGCTATCCATGCAGCTGCCTTCTTTGCAGAGTAGCTTGTTGTTGTTTTCTACTCGCACTTTGGCTCCAGAGCTGCGAGCATGGCTCTGCATCCTGTCTGCACCCCGCTGCAAACACAAACAGTCAGATTCACTGCAAATTATAAGATTTACTAGCTTGATTTTATTTTGTTTTGACAGATAAGTTCATATTAAGAAAAGTAATGATCCAAGTATATAAATAAATAAATAAATAAAAAAACAATATTATGGTCAGAGCCAGCCCAAGGTATCAGCGAGGCAGTGTAACAGAGCTCAGTAAATAGATATGCTATTGGCTGTCCTTAAAGCAGTCATCTGACATCATCTGTCAGTATGCATGGAAATGGAATGGTTACTTTAGGAAAGAGGATTAAATAGGAGAGATAAAACTAATAATGGATAAATCTTGCTGCGTTTAGACACACTTCCTATTTGGAATTATACCTTTTATTATTTACACATTTTTTGTATCTATTCAGACTTCTGATCCACCATACAGGCTCTGTTTTCAGAACAAAAAGATGGATGGATCATATGGCGTAACTATCGGTAAGCAGAGACTGCAGTTGCTTAGAGGCCCCATCACTGGCACCTGGTTGCCCCCTTAAAGGAATAGTACACCCAAAACATGATTAGCCTTCATTTTCTACTCACCCCCATGCTGAACAACACTCTGGAGTACTTTTTTGATATCTCAAATGCATCTGGAGATCTGGGAGGCTTCTTGCTGTCTGCTGACATTCAAATAATGGAGGTCTATGGTGACCGAGACAGAAAGGTCCATAAAAGTCCACAAAAAACGTGTCAATATTCCTCCATACTGCTCGTCCAATGTATTCCAAGTGTCCTGAGTGGGTAGCATCCAGAATTTACTCGAAACAAAGTCATTTAGAATGTTTTTAGAGCATAAACAGTAGTGTATAGGATTTCCTGAAAGCGCGCACACGCGCGCTCACGACGCTACGGAAGCCGGCAGACCAAACCAGCGCATTCAGCTCGGCAAAGAGATCATGCTCTTCCTCAACACTGAAGTCCTCAGACATTTTTCTTTCGTTGTTTCTTTCTTTGCACAGGTAAACAGCACATTTCTTCTTCTACGCTTGCATTATCGGCAGAGCAGACGCTGAATGCGCACTTTCATCTGGTTTGATCTGCCGGCTTCCGTAGCGTCGTGAGCGCGCGTGTGCGTGCTTTCAGGAAATCCTATACACTACTGTTTATGCTCTAAAAACATTCTAAATGACTTCGTTTCGAGTAAATTCTGGATGCTACCCACTCAGGACACTTGGAATACATTGGACGAGCAGTATGGAGGAATATTGACACGTTTTTTGTGGACTTTTATGGACCTTTCTGTCTCGGTCACCATAGACCTCCATTATTTGAATGTCAGCAGACAGCAAGAAGCCTCCCAGATCTCCAGATGCATTTGAGATATCAAAAAAGTACTCCAGAGTGTTGTTCAGCATGGGGGTGAGTAGAAAATGAAGGCTAATCATGTTTTGGGTGTACTATTCCTTTAAGCAATTGTGGACTAGGACGTCTCTTTGCAGATGTAATGGTGCAAAAAATTCCTCTTAAACCCACCTGATACTGGAATAACTGACCGGACCTTATTTATACCCCAACACATGGCAAATTTCAACATGATGGTGAGCCGTTTAAACACGACACCAATAGCAAAGCAGACAGTGGTACTTTTTAATTACTATGTTACTAACTGTGTAAAGTTCATTAGATGATTGGTAAAAAAAAAAAATACACTCATATAATATGTTTCAAACCACAGTAAAGATCTTAAAAGAACAATGTATTTGAGTATTTTATTTTTTACACTATGACTTGGAATTATGGGTAATCCAGAGCATAGATTAAATCCATAACCATTACACACAATGTGTTAGCAACGACAGATACCAAAAAGAGGTACTTAAGTGGATTCCAGAAAAGAAAAAGCAAATAAGAGCTGCTGGAAGAATGGAAAAAAACTTCCCAATATAAACACATTCTTTCAAAGAACCAAAGAGGGAGAGGTGGAGGTTGCTGCTACAGTGACTGATGGGGCCCACCAGATAATGTTGCTTAAGGGCCTATTGTTGTGTCATTATGCCATTGGATGGATCCATCTTTTAATGCTTATATATCAAGGTCATGGGGGGCTACCTATTTCCAGCAATCTATTGGCAAATTTTCCTAGAAACTTTGCCAATCCATCACAGGCAAACACAGAGACACACAACCACGTACACACAGAGACATAATTTAGAGACATGACTTAACCTTATCATCATGATTTTAGACTGTGGGAGGAAGCTGCACATCCCTGTAAAAAACAGTCTATTAAAAAGTCTCCTGTAACATCAGAAAAAGTAACCATATTTATAGAAAGTTGTTTAGAAAAAGGAGCCACTGGGATGGCCAGCTATAAGGTAAAAGTTTCAACAAAGTTTTCTTAAGGCAGTGGTCAGCTTAGAGACCCAATCCAGTAGGGGCCCCACCAAGAGCGCTTAACTTCCTATGCAAAATAGAGATCCCTACCCTAACACAGTTTATAAGTTTGAATGCTTCCAAAAAAGAAAAATTAACCCCTAGAACCCTACAGACCCACCGGTGGGTCCAGCTGCTACGTGACCTCGTAATTTTAACAAACCCCCAGTATTGATGTAAAAAACACATTTGGCACAGTTTGGTGACATTTTTGGATAAATGTGCCAAAATGGCCTCTCCGCCTAAGAAATTTCTCACTAATACCATTCTAAAATAAATATGATTCATCTGATTGAGTCCAAATTTGGTATATTTTTACACAACATTTAGATTAAAAAGTCTGTACTACTTTTTTGTGCTATAAATAATATTTTGGTAGTGTTTTGCAATGTTTATTTCAAAGAAAATTTTGGCGAGGTTCAAAAAATGCAAAATATTTTGTATTTTGTCCCTAATATTTCAGGCAGGGTCAAAGCTACAATGGTGCTGACACCAGAAAACCATTCTATGACATCTTACCTTTACAGACGTACCAAAAGTTTCTTCTTAAATCTAATAGCTGTGAGGCTATAAGTGATTTACTTTTGTGTGTTTTTGTCAGGCAGAAATGTATTTATAACCCCTTAGGGTGTAAGAGGTTAAGATGAAGAAAAAAACTTTTTTTTTTTCGTTTCTATCAATTGAAAAACAATGATTAATTGTGTTTTGTGATATATTGAACCAACTGTAGGCTTATTGGTATAATAGTTGTGCTGTAGTGGGTGGGTGGTGCTGGGCATAAGAAAAAAACAAGAACCTGGAAGAAATTCTGCTCTGGGTACTATGCAATTTAAAACAGTTCTAGTGTTTCAAGTGGTTCTTCATGCATTTGGAAAAACGAGCATAGTCGCCCCAAAATAAAGGAAATGTAATAATATTGGTTCTTTGTTGCATAATACTCATCCTATTTTCACAAAACTAAGTTCCCCTTTGGTTAAAAAAAGAAAAAAATTATGTTATGCCTTTCATAATCACTAGGGATTACCACAATGTCATCAGGAACAGTTGCCATGGCTTTAATATTGAGATATGTTTTTATCCTAAACCATGAATATTCCGGATATTTGAAATGTCTAAGGGCGTGAGTATTTGCAGTTGTCTATTACTTCCTCTTTCATAAACATACTGGTTTAAAATGCTGGCTCACAGCCCCCACAGTTTCACAGTGCAGTTTGAGGTTGAGCATGTAATCCAGGCTGTCAGGAACCCTCATGATGCGGAGAAAGAAATACACAGTCGCAGGTAAGTGACAGCATTTAAGCAGTTGCTAAAGGTTCAAAAAAATATTTATATTATATATATTTCTATATATATATAGATATATATATATATAGACATAGATATGTATTGATATATATATAGACATATATATGTATTTACTTATTTTTTTTTTATTATTATATACTGTGACAATTTGTTTGTCAGTTTGTTGACAATTCCATCAGCATATATAATTATATTGAATATTCTTACTAATTGTAAAAAAAAAAAATGTTCAGACAAATTAAAGAACCCTCTTTACGCTGGCTTGCAAAATGTTTCGCTTCCACTGGACTTTTTCCTTTTTGCTACTTTAGAACCAAAAATCTCATTGCATTTTAGTAGGGATATGATCTAAACGACCAAGAAGAAGAAGAAATTACCACTGTAATGTGATGTGGAAGAAGTGCAAAAACAAAAAGTGTCAAATGCATTCAGGCCTCCTGAGTAAATATTTTGTTGTTAACCTTTGGCTACAATTTCAGCTACAACGTAGAACTATTTTGCAATTCTTTGTCAATACCTCAACCTCATTCAGAATAGGTAGAGGCAGTCTGTGAACTGCATTTTGCGGTACGGTAATTGCCACAGAGCCTAAGTTAAAAACCTTTCAACATATGGAAACCATCAATGTATTTTGGACGGTGTTTGACTAATAGTTGCCCTGACAACAGGTTCTCCAACATAAACTTTAGATCTTCGCAGCTCCTACACTGCAAAAACAATCCAGAAATAAGTAAAAAATGGCTTAAATTAAGTATATTTAGCCTTAATTTGAGCAGGTAAATAAGATGATTTGCCAATGGAATGAGTATTTTCACTCTTAAAATAAGATAGTTAGATAATATTTACTTGAAATAAGACGATAAAATTGTTTTTTCTAATTTTGAAAGGAAATTGTCTTGTTCCATTGGCAAAGTGTCTTACTTACCTCCTCAAATCAAGGAAAAACGCACTTATTTTAAGAAAAGAATAACTTATTGAGATTTCTATTTTTTGCAGTGTACATAGTTGAACTGGGCCTCCTGGTTACTTCTATGATAAATTAGTTACACTGAATTTTTCTTATGGGATCTAAAGAGAAAGGGGTCTGGATATGAATGCATGCGGTTTTTCATGTTTTTTTTTTCTGGTAAAAATGTACTCTTATCCTTCTACTTCACAAATATACACTACAGCATTTGTGTTGACACTATTTATATTTGTTAAATTAATAGTAAAAACCTGGTAAATTGTATCAGTCTTTGAAACATACTATGTGTCTAATTTTTTTTCTTTTCGTCTTTTCAGCTGTTCTTCTGCTGTGTGCTGTTAGCACTCTTTGCTCTGGTGGTGTTATGAATCAGAACT